AAGGAAAGAGAGGGAAGGACAGAAAGAGAAAGAAGGAAGGAAAGAGAGAAAGAAGGAAGGAAATAGAAGGAAAAAAGAATGGAAAGAAAGAGGGAAGGAAAGGAAAGAGAAAGAAGGAAGGAAAGAGAAAGAAGAAAGGAATGAAATAGAAGGAAAAAAAGGAAGAAAGAAAAAGAAGCCAGAAAGGAAGGAAAGAAGGGGGAAGAGGAAAAAGAAGGAAGGAAAGAGGGAGAGAAAGAAGAAAGGAAAGAAAGAAAAAGGATGGAGAAGGAAAAAGTAACCAAAAGAAAGAAGGAAAGAATTAATTAAGTAACTAATTAATTCTTGGAGATGCCAGAAATAATGACGCTTCCAGCCCAACCCCCCCGTCTTCTGTTGGGAGTCCCCCCCGTTGAGCCCAATTTCCCCCGGGGGCCTTTCCCACAGCGTCCCCCGTGGAAGAGGCTCAGCTTCCAGTTGCCGCGACAGAAGCTCCCCAGCTCAAAAAAAAAGAGAGGGTGTTTCGTAAACTCCCTGCCCGACAATATGTTGGAGTGACGTGACGATGAAGCCAAGCTGGAGGAGCCTTGGCAATCCTCACCCGCCATCCCGAAATCTGCTGGGTTTTCCGTGCTGGAGACGGACCGAATTAATCATCTTGAACGCTTTCCTCTCCAGAAATAATCTGGCGATGGGAATTCACGCCGCGGCTGGCTAGGCTTTCTCGCTCTTTCTCGCTAGTTCTCGGGCCCTGCGCTGACGGGTGGTCCAAATTCCCCTTTTTAATATGCCCAGGCACATTTTTTAAAAAAATATCAAGGGTTGTTTTTTTTAATATATTTTTTACAAACGTACCAAGGTGTGAACGGTGTAGCACCAGAGTGTCATACATTTCGATACAAATAAAATAGTATTTAACCGTATTGGTTGGTCCTTGAGGTCCAAAAGGTTAGCGACCCCTGGACTAGAAGACCTCCGAGGTCCGGCTTTGATGGTTCTGTGTGTTTTGGGATTTGCATTGTTTTAACCCAAAAAGGTACCCTTGGAGATTCTGGAGAATCGCCAACGGCCCATGGGTTTGGGAACAGTTTCATCCACCCAGCCACCCCGCCTAAAAAGAAGCGAAGAGCATTTTTTTCCCCCTCAGAACGAAGCGGCTGCTTGAGTTGGGATCTACTTCAAAGAAGAAGAAGAAGAAGAAAAAGGAGAGGGAAAAAAAAAATCCATCCCTCAAAGAAGAGAAAACATTGCAAGTCTTATGTTTTCCCTGGGCTTTTAGCTGTGTAGGTGGAAGCTGTCAGCTTGCTATGGCAACAGAGGTTGGGGGCAGGAGGAGAAGGAGCTTGTGGAAAAGAAGATTTCAAGTGATTTTTTTTCTTCTTTTTCTTCTTCTTCTCTCTGCCCCGGAGTCTGCAACAAGCTTTGGACTTGCACTTCTTAAATTTCTGGAAAGATCTCTCCGTTTGGGGGAAATAGGTCACCATGATGGTTTTGTTGTTCTTTATTGTTGGTGGTTGTTGCTGCCGCAGCCTTCGAATATAATGTTTAAACCGATCGCAGAGAGAGGGAGAGATGCGTGCTGGTCTCCAGTTTAAAAAAAAAAAAAAAAAGAAAAGCGAACTGAATGATCTTCGTATAATTGTTTACGGGGCGCACGCCGATATCGGACATGGTTTGCTTGGGTGGGATGGTGGGGGGTTGGACTAGATGACCTCCAAGGTATCTTCCAACTCTACTCCCCCCCTCCCCACCTGAAAAGAAATCTCTTCCAAATGCAAAACACAAGCAGAGGAGTTTCAGTTTCAGAGCACCAAGAAGCTTTAGTACAGAACGGTTGAGCGAAGCCACGCCCAAGGCTCCTAGCTGTCTCCTTGCTCACACAGCAAATAATGTTTCCCTTTCCAAACAGCTCTCAACTCACACTGACAGGGCGCTAGCCAGACGAATACCGATGGGTGCTTGGCAGGCAGAGGCAGAATTTTTCCCTCCCTTATTTCCCTCCCCAAAAAGCTAAGCCCGACCACATAGTTTCATAGCGAAGCACGGGGATCGAGCTAGTATATATATATATTTTGACGGCAGCAAGTCTATTGTATGCACAAAAATGGAAGGACACTTTGATTCCTACCGTGGGCGAATGGCTGGAGAAGTGGCGAAAAGGACCGTTTTGATTAAAAGAAAAGAATACAAGAATACAATTGTTTCCACATGGAGACAACGCTTCTGAACGTTGTCCTTAAAAGCGGGAAAGAATGAAACTTGGACCTTGGGTTTTACCAGTCAGGTTGATAAGATCTTTATAGAAATGGCTTGTTCGTGTTGTTATGGTGGGAAAAAGGGTGGGGGGGAACACTCGCTTAATGGCAGAAATGTAGGGCTTGTTTGTGGATGTGAGTCGAGGCTCACCTGTGGGTTTGTGCAGGTGATTTTTCGCAGGTGCGCTTCTGGGTGTCTCCACCTCTCCTTTTGAGTCTGAGATGCTGAACAAACGTGTATTTTCTCCCCAGGAACTGGAAGAGAAACACCGGGAAGCTCAGTTGGCGGCCCAACACCTGGAGTTGCACCTGAAGCAGAAAGAACAAATGTATGAAGAAAGGCTCAAAGTAAGGAGGGGTTTGATTCTCGGGAGGAAGGTTGCTTTTCTCACCCCCTGCTGCCTTGAGTTGGGAAAGGAAAGGAAAACGCACCGGCCCTTAGATTTATATGCCGCTTCACAGAGCTTTTCCAGCCCTCTCTAAGCGGTTTACAGAGTCAGCCTCTTGCAAACCCCTCTACAATCTGGATCTTCTCATTTTATGGACCTCGGAAGGATGGAAAGGCTGAGTCAATCTTCAGCTGGTCAGGATCGAACTGCTGACGGTGAGCAGTGAGTTAGCCTGCAATGCTGCATTCTAATCACTGTGCACCATGGCCCTTCCTTCCTCCCTCCCTCCTTTCCTTCCTTCCTCCCTCCTTTCCTTCCTTCCTTCCTTCCTTCCTCCCTCCTTTCCTTCCTTCCTCCCTCCTTCCTTTCCTTCCTTCCTTTCCTTCCTCCCTCCCTCCCTCCCTCCCTCCCTCCTTCCTTCCTTCCTTCCTTCCTTCCTTCCTTCCTTCCTTCCTTCCCACTTAGCTCTTAGACTTATATACCACTTTACAATGCTTGACAGCCCTCTCTAAGCGGTTTACGGAGTCAGCCTCTTTCCCCCAACAATCTGGGTCTCCATTTTACTGACCTCGGAAGGATGGAAGGATGAGTCAGCTGTGAGCCTGTATTTATGTCTGTCTGTCTGTCTCTTTCTTTCTCTCTCTTATCTATCATCATCCATCCATTCATCCACCCATTTATCTATCCTATCACAAAAGCAATAGCACTTAGAGTTATATACTGCTCCATAGTGCTTCACAGCACTCTTTGAGCGGTTTACAGAGTCAACGAATTGCCCCCCAACAATCTGGGTCCTTTTTTTTGATGACCTCAGAAGAATGGAAGGCTGAATCATCCTCATCCTCATGGATCGAACTGCTGTCTGTGGGGCAGAGCCAGCCTGCAATACTCTACGTTCTAACCAGTTCGGCCCTAGAGCAAATGGGGCGGAACTTGGCTTCCAAAACTAACGAAGTGGCATAAAAAAAGAATGAAATCAAGGATAGAGATGTCACATACCCCCCCAATCTCTCTCTCTTCAACCCCCCCTCCTCTCTCTCCTGTCCAGTTATCTCAGCTGTTGCATTAAATTGCAAACAAACCCTCACACTTGAAATACACAACACAAGGGGAGGATTCCAGCTGCGGTCTTTCTCTTGATGCAACCGCCTGGCTGCTGTGTGCGCCTCAGCCATGCGGCTGAAAACATTCGACAACCATGCCACCCAGGCAGAAAATCAATGCCGGCGTTCCATCGAGTGCCAAAATCTTGGCTTTGCAACATCTTGGTTGTGCAGCAAGTTTACCTAGTGTAATAAGAACGGGACTGGGTTAGGGACTTCTGTCCTCACTGTGAGTTGTGTTGAGGATGTGTGTGTGTGCACGAAGGGAGGCTCAGCCAATCTGATTGTACACGTGTTGTACTCTGACAATAAAGGGAATAATAAGTTATTATGCCAGGGACCCCTTCTGAAATGAAGAAAACTGACTGGGACGATTCTGGAGTCTTCATTCTTCCCCACTTTGTCCAAGGAACCCCTGGGAAAATCCAGAAAGACACATTGCGAGCGATTGTTAAGAAGGAGGATGGGTCTCAAATTGCCATGGAACTGTTGGGCGGCTATTCAGATGTCAGGTTGACCCAGGCAGAAAATACGAAGAAAAGAGTCTAATGAAAAACTCTCGCCAAATATAATGTCCGCGGCGCCAGGCAACGGAGCAATCAGACTCTTAAGTAGCGCTGCCTTTTGAGCTGGGCACGCCAGCCTCCTCTTCAGCTCAAATAATGTTTTGGGGGTTTTTTTGCTCCTGTTATCTATAAGGCCTGTAGCGGTGTGCGGTTTGGCGGCCGATCTTCCTTAGAATTCCCGACGCTGGCATCCCCTAAACCCCCGCTGAAGAAGTTGCCTAGTTTGGTAGCGAAATGTTTGGAAGCCAACCCATAAGCTCGGAGAACGAATCCTTCACCCAGTATCCGTGTTTCTCAACCTTGGCTTTAAGATAAGATAAACTTTATTGTCATTTGTTTTGCTGTGAACACATTGGCACACATTCAAAAATAAAATTTCTGATACCTGCTCTCAATCTCCCTCCCTCCCTCTCCCCCCCCTCTCTCTTTCTCTCTCCCTCCCTATCTATCTTATCTATTATCTATCTTATCTACCTACCTACCTATCTATATTATCTATTTATCTTATCTATTTATCTTATCTACCTACCTATCTACCTTATCTACCTATTTACCTCCCTATTCTATTCTATTCTATTCTATTCTATTCTATTCTATTCTATTCTATTCTATTCTATTCTATTCTATTCTATTCTACTCTACTCTACTCTACTCTACTCTACTCTATCTATCTATCTATCTCCATCCAACCATCCATCCAATCTAATTTCCTGACAGTGAGAACAATTAACCAGTGGAACGATTTGCCTCAAGAAGTTGTAAATGCTCCAACACTGGAAGTTTTTAAAGAAGAGATTGGACAGTCATTTGTCTGAAGTGGTGCGTAGGGTTTCCTGCCTAGGCAGGGAATTGGACTAGAAGGCCTCCAAGGGCCCTTCCAACTCTGTTATTCTATTCTATTCTATTCTATTCTATTCCAATCTGTCTGTCTGTCATCTATCACCTGTCTACATCTGTCTGTCTGTCCGTCTGTCATCTCTCTCTCCATCCATCTCCATATGTGTGCATACACATAGATATATACATATGCTACACACACACACACACTCACACTAATCACAGTCCATTTTGAACACCTTTTGTGAGCTTCCTTTTGAATGCAGCATCTGGAATGCCACTCAGGAGGCCAACTCTGGCCTTTTCAGCCCCAGAAAACTTTTTTTGCAAATTTCCTGTTCAAGTTTCTCCAACACTTTCCTGGGCTCTCCCGAAATGGCTCGAGGCCACCCAAGTCTTAGGTTGGGACATCCACAGGCCTTACACGTAAGGCCTTGTCTTGTTTCCTCCTTCCCGCAATCCCCGCAGGTGCTTGATAACCAGATGAAGAAAGACTTGGGAGACAAAGACGCTCTGGAGAACATGCTGAGGAAGCACGAGGAGGAGGCTCACGAAAAGTGCAAAATCCTCGCCGAGCAGAAAGCGGTAAGGCAGAGGCTGCTCTTCAGATCATGCATGGCTTCAATTAGGTTGACTCACCGGGACTCGTAGGTGATCTTAGTCACATCCGAGCGTGTAAAATGGCACTTGCTCCCGACTTAGCAAGATTGCCGGCGCGAGCTAAAGACGCCTAATTGTCATATCAATATTGCCGGTGTAAGGATATGTTTGCATTGCCGGAGGAGCTGTTGGGAATTCTCATGAGAATTCCCGTGTTGGGAACCCCGTGGGGGGGGCTTCCACCACACACAAACGCACCCCCCCGAGCTCGTAGAACCATGACGGCGAACCTATGGCACACATACTGCAAGGGGCACGCAGAGCTATCTCTGCCAGCCCGCGAGCCGTTGCCCCAGATTAGGTCTACTGTGCATGCACGCGCATGCCTCCCGCCAGCCAGGTATTGTCAGGTATCTGGTGTGTCAGGTATCTGATTGTCAGGTATCTGGTGTGGGGGCAGGATGTGTGTGTGGGGGGGGGTCGCTCAAGTGGGAGTCGCACACGCATTGCATCATAGGTTACAGCGATGAAAAGGTTAGCCATCACTGCCGTAGAATATTTTGAGCAGAGTTTAGAAGACGGGCGCGCAATTCCTGTAGAGCTCCAGGGCGATTTTCCATGACCTTCCGACAGAAGGAAGTCCCTTAGAAGAGACCCTCAGAAGGGCTTGGTGAAGCGGCCATTTTGAGAAGATGGCCAACGTCATCCTTGGTTTTATTCTGGAGCGGGTATCTGTTTTGTTTTGTTTGAAACTTGTTTTTATAATTTGTGAATTGTAAGCCGCCCAGAGTCAATTGGTGGAGTTGGGCGGCTGGAGAAATCGAATACATCCATTGTGGTTTGAACACCGCTATTAATACAGCTGTGTTAAGCCATAGATATATGTCTTTCTTCAGATGATCAATGCCATGGATTCGAAGATCAGATCTCTGGAGCAGAGAATAGTGGAACTGTCTGAAGCTAACAAGCTGGCAGCCAACAGCAGCCTCTTCACTCAGAGGAACATGTAAGCATAAATGCTGCTATTATGTTATCTTGACTCATACCAATTTGGAGAAATTTGGCAAGCCTGTTACTCATTGTGTAGAGCCTTCCTTTTGATGTGCCTTTGTATATGGAGCAGAGGAAGGCCTAGAACAGCCACTGCAGAGAATGCCTGTGCATCTCCTCCCGTCTGTCTGTAGCCAGAAAGATTGCCAAATGTTTATGCGGCCTTGGCATCTTTATCAAAAAAAAAATTGCACGAGATACCTAAAATCTTGCAAGTTGTGTGTCATGGCCCTGTCGGAATCTGACTTGCAGGGGGAAGCCGAACAGCTGATAAGGGAGTGGGAGCGTGGCTTGTTGGCTGTGGAAGAAACTGGGGAAGGGCACAGTCTGGCTGGGCAGAGCAGGGGAGAGGTAGAACAAGGGAGAGGGAGTTCAGAGGATATTGTGGTTAGCTGGCAGCAGGTGCGGATGGCTGAGAAGAGCGGGGACTCATATCTATCTATCTATCCTTATCTTTCTCTCTCTCCCTCCCTCCCTCCCTCCCTATTTTTTAGGAAAGCCCAAGAAGAGATGATTTCTGAGCTCAGGCAGCAGAAATTTTATCTGGAAACCCAGGCCGGGAAATTAGAAGCGCACAACAATAAACTGGAGGAACAATTGGAAAAAATCAGCCATCAGGATCATGCCGACAAGACTCGCCTCCTGGAGTTGGAGACGAGGTTACGAGAGGTAAAAAAAAAACAACGGTTGGATATTTTTAACCGTTCACCCTACCAATTAATGACCATTTCTTTCTTAAAGACGCCCGCCAGTCCTACAAGATCAGACAGGGTGGGCAGCTTGCTTGTCCCTTTCCCTAAATCAGGGATGTTCAAACTTGTCAGCTTTTAAGACTCCCCGAAGAATTCAACTCCCAGAATTCTTCCTCCAGCCATCTTAGCTCAGGAATTCTGGGAGTTGAAGTCCACAAGTCTTAAAAGCTGTCAAGTTCGAAGACCCTTGCTCTAAATATTGCCACTGGATGGGAGTTAGGAAGTGGGCTTTTGGCCGTGGGAGCCTCTACCCTTTGGACGACTCTTTGAGGTTCAACAGGCCTTCTTCACCCTTCTGGCTTTCCATAATATCTGGCCCAAAGGCGCTTTTTTTTTTTTTCCAGTAGGAAACTGGACTTTCTTGAGTTTTTTTTCTTTTGAAGACGTTTTGCTTCTCACCCAAGAAGCTTCTTCAGCTCTGATTTGGATGGTGGGGAATGGAAGGATTGATACTCCTTGCAGACAGCTGGTCGTTTGCATCCTTTTAGAAGGTCGTTGAGGCCACTTGGAGGTTTCTCTGGGTCCTACAGGAACCATTTGCACCATTTAGCAAGCAGGCTGGGCACCTGCTTAAAGGTGCGAGGAAGTCCTTTCAGAAGGACTCCATTGACATGGGCAAAAAACCCTCCAAAATTAGCACTGTGGATATGTGTTTTTATAAATAATAACAACACATAATTACACTCCAATAACAATGTTAATAATAGACTATTATGTCTTTATATACTATAGATAACAGCTAATTTACAAGATATAGGCAGTAACTGCCACTACTATGAAATATTTAAATCACTCTCAAAATGTATTAGAGAAAAATACGATTAATTTATAGAACACGTGGTGATGTTTATTTGTACTTTTTACCTTTTATTTTTGTATATTTTAATTTTTTGTATTTAATAAAGTTTTTAATTTTTTTTTTTTTAAAAGCTAGCACTGTGGCCCAGATGAAAGAAATGAATTTCCTGTTAATCAGATGGCATTGAGTCTGTTTCTCAAGTGCCAGACACATTGGCAGGGTGAAAGCAGACAAAAGGCTGTGGAGGGGAAGGAAACTAAGAACATTTGTGATAATCTGTGGCTTCCCGAGATGGATTCTGATAGGTTAGAGCGATACTGTTGAGTCGAAATATGGAAGTTCCCCTTCTTCCACATTTGCATTAAGCAGTAAAATGAGGAGAGCCTGATTGTTGGGGACAACAGGCCGACTCTAACCGCTTAGAGAGGGCTGTAAAAGTTTTTAAAAAGATGTTGGATAACCTGAAGTGGTGTGTAGGGTTTCCTGCCCAGGCAGGGGGTTGGACTAGAAGACCTCCAAGGTCCCTTCCAACTCAGCTCAACTCTTCTCTTCTCTTCTCTTCTCTTCTCTTCTCTTCTCTTCTCTTCTCTTCTCTTCTCTTCTCTTCTCCTCTCCTCTCCTCTCCTCTCCTCTCCTCTCCTCTCCCCTCTCCTCTCCTCTCCTCTCCTCTCCTCTCCTCTCCTCTCCTCTCCTCTCCTCCAGGTTAGCCTTGAACACGAAGAGCAAAAACTGGAGCTGAAGCGACAGCTGACTGAATTGCAGCTCACCCTCCAGGAGAGGGAATCTCAGATTTCTGGGTTGCAAGCGGCCCGGGCAGCCCTGGAAAGTCAACTCCGGGAAGCGAAAACCGAATTGGAGGAGACCACGGCTGAAGCGGAAGAAGAGATCCAAGCGCTGACGGTAAGCTTTCGAATTCTGGGCCGGGCTCAGGAGCTGCGCGCTGCTGGCTTGGAGCCTGAAGCGGTGGGAGAAGGTTTGGGACAGCCCTTTTCCTCTTGAAAGCCTCTGGTGAACTTTCAAAGCTCACGCGGTGGTTTGCCACACCCCCTTTTTATTTTTTATTTTTGCACCTCCCGGTTTGAAGTAAAGCGACAGAAAGATGCCCTTGGAGTTTGGTTGTTTTCTTGCAGACGTTTCATTGCCCAGCTAGGTAACATCATCAGTGCTAGAATGCAGTGGGGAGAGTGAGGAGCAGGAAGAGGAGGAGGATTGTGGGGTCCTTGTTTTGCTCGCTGAGCCTGGTGATTTTCTTGCAGACGTTGCATTACCCAATGTGATGACCCAGGGTGGGATACAGAATAAACACAGTCACAAAAAAACAGGTGAAGCCTCTTTTATTCCTTCACTTTGCTTCCAAGCTCCAAATATCCTTGACTGGAGACAAAAAAACTCCCCCACAAGCAGTTACAAGAAGGAGGAAATGCTGTTTAAATAAAAGAAGTTAAAGAGTAAAAAGCAACACAAACCAGGCAAGATAAGGGCTTGAAGACGTCCACAGTTAAGGGAAGGACGCCAAACTCAGAGAGGAACCATAAACTAGAGATATTTCCACCCTTCGTTTCCAGCGCTGGCCCATACGCATGTCCGTCCTCTTATCCAGCTGTCACAGCTGCAGCCCATGAAGAGGATCAAGGCCCTCTCCTCCCCCGTAGACCATGCCTCTCCCTTATCCTCTCCTCCCTGCGTGCCCTAGGATGGAGAGGGGATGGGCCTGGGTCCTCCTCTGACTGCCCAGCTGGCCTCTGCCCTTCCCCAGCCTCCTCCACAACCTCCGGAGCCACGCTTCCATTCCCTGTTGGCTGTTCCTCCTCTCCCTCAGAGTCAGTCTCCACCACGGGCTTGACACCCAACTAGATGACAACATCAGTGCAAACCCCACTCCCGTCTAGACCTGATGACGTTACCTAGTTGGGTAACGAAACATCTGCAAGAAAACGACCAAACTCAGCCACCCCCAAGGACCCCACCGTTCAACCCTGAGCTACAAAGATTCTCTTATGTTGATGTCATGTTTGTGGTGGGAATGAACGTTGCTTGCAAAGGTTGCAAACGGCAGGCCGGTATACAGACGTGCATAGCTCAAACAGCCCTTGGAAGACCTTGGATCCTGAACCAAGGATAACCTTGGTCCTAGAGCAGGGTGTTCTGACCCATCTCCTCAAGCATGACAAACCCAGTCGAAGCAATGATTCCTTTATTAGGAGCGCCGGCAGCCCCGGCACAAAAGTTTCTCTCTCAGGCTGGCAAGGCAGATCGGCCGGGAGATAAATAGTTGTCTGTCACATCTATTCATCTCCGCCCCCTGCCTTTTATCCCCAGAGCTAGGGTGGGGCCTCGCTAGCAGTGGTGGCTCTTCTGTCCCAAGGTCCGGCCCATAGATTTCCACTGCTCTCCTCTCCTCTGCCTTCTGTGCATCTGCGCGTCAGGCACTGGGCGCAGGACCGGCCCATAGATTTCCACTGCTCTCCTCTCCTCTGCCTTCTGTGTACCTGCGCATCAGGCACTGGGCCCAGGACCGGCCCATAGATTTCCACTGCTCTCCTCTCCTCTGCCTTCTGTGCACCTGCGCGTCAGGCACTGTACCCGGCTGTTCCTCCTCTTCCTCATCAGCCACCTCCAGACTTGGGGGGCTCTTGACTCTCCATCTGAGGGCTGACGGACGGCCCAGGCTCCGCCTCTGTCTCTCTCTCTCTCTGTCTCGCTCTCTCTGCCGGCTCCATTCCCTCTTCTTTTCCCTCGGAGCTCTCTCATTGCCTTGATGCTGATCCTGATTCCATGCCTCCTCTTCCTCCTCTGATGTTCAGAAGTGCCTGTGGCTGAAAGTCCTCCTCAAATCCCATCGTAATCTCACTCTGATTTTGAAATGCAACCCAGATACGTTATGTTTTCACCCCAGCCCACCTTTTACAATTGATGGGGGCCGTGTCCCCCCTACTGCTTTCTACGAATGCTACTTTGGGATTGCAGGATGCGAGTTCTCTTATGCGCAGAACTCTCCCCTTCTGACTCAGTCTTCGGTGACAATCTTAAATTCTCCGTATTAGCCCTGGGAGCTAATAACCACAATGGAGCTCTTCCCTTGGAAAGAGTCCCTACTGGGATATATCCTTATACCTCAAATGCACTACAGGTAGTCCTTGACTTACGACGGTTCATTTAGGGACCGTGGGAAGTGACAACGGCTCCGGAAAAAAGCGACTCTACGGCTGTTTTTCACACTTACGATCGTTGCGGCATCCCCATAGACAGTTGGTCAAAATTCGGATGCGTGTTAACCGACTCATATTTATGACGGTCTCAGTGTCCCAGGAGGTCATGCGACCTCCACACAAGCAAAGCCAGTTTCACAGAACAATCGTCTTACTAACTTAACAACTGCAGCCATTCACGTAACAATTGTGGCAAAAAAAGGTCGTAAAATGAGGCAGAATTCATTTAACCAATGTCTCGCTTAGCAACTGAAATTTTGGGGTCTATTGTGGTCGTAAGCCCAGGACTGCCTGAACTTAATAAGCTCTCTGACTCTTTTTTTGTGAAAGTTTGCTAACACTGATAGGCAGGGAAAGAGGCTACGGTAACTTACAGGTAAGTTGCTTTAATTTAGTTCCTTGGACAATTTTTTAAAAGAAAATATCCTTGTTTTGCATATATACGATGTCGTTTATGGAGTTTTAGCAATCTCCCTTTTCCATGCTGCCCTGTTTTCTGCATCTAAAAAAATCAGTGCAACTTGCTTTTCATTATGATGTTGAAAATATTCTATATCTAGAACATTATCCTTTCATGGTCTTCTGGATAGAAATCCAGATTGGTCCACATCATCATGGATAAAATTCTCTTTAACAGTTTTTTTAACTCTCTCAGCCACTTTTTTTTTCTTGTTCTTGTTCTTTTTTTAAGGGTAGGGGATTGGTTTTATTTTGTGGCTCCAGATTTGAACAAAGAATGAAGTGGAAATACAACATACATGGAAAGTAGGAAATAATAGAAAGTGAGAAACTAAGTGCTTGAAAGAAAGCTCATCTGAATATTGCTTGATCGGCGTATGAATCGGCACTTGAGCCAGATAAATAATTGAAAATTATACATAAAAATATTGAGTATTATTATGCATTATTATCAGCCAGTCTTGTAAAAGATTTATACTCCATCGGTCAATAACAAGAACAGCCTTTAATTCAAATCTTGTCCTTCTTTTGATAATAAAGCAATATTTTTGTCCTTTTTGCCATGAATCTGGCCAGGCAGACCCTTGGCTAACAGCATTCATTGCATTTTTTAAAAACGGAATTCCATTTGGTTTTCAAAACTTTTATAACATAAAACCTGGAAAGCCGTCTGATCTGGTGCTTTCCCTGTTTCAATTTTCTTTCTAACTTCTGATGGATCAAAATGGCTTCTCAGAAGTTGGATTGTTTTTCATTCGGTCTGGCCAAGGTGGTGAGTGGTACTGTGGCTGGGTTTTGCTTCTGGCTGAAGCAGCGTTTCCAAGGATGTTTGTGGGGGATCTAGGGATTGTGAAATGACGTGAAATGATGGAATTGTGAACCTGCGGAAGCTCCCAAAAGCAAAAACACCGTTGTCTCCTCCCCACAAGGGACTCCGTTTCTGCCTTTGAGCTGCTAGATGGAGCTTGAAGTGTTCGGGAGAGGATTTCTGTAAAACGACAGGGCGATCTGGCTGCCACATCTGTCACCCCATCGGTTGCCGGAGTTGATTTGGTTGATCTGGCTATCTAGGCAGATGTCCCCTTCCTCCCCCCTTCCTCCCACATGTGTCCCTCCTGAAGCTGCAAGCGTGGTGGAAGAGAATGACCATCCAGATACACATATACCCAGTGGTAGGCTGCAACCGGTTTAACAACCGGTTCTGTGAGCGCGCGCGTGCTTCGTTCAAAAGGCACCAATATGAACCTATAAAGCTTACTGTGACGACCCAAAGGGGCGTGGCACAAAGGCCACACAGTCACATAATCAGTAGGAGTCCCTTTATTCGCTCCAACTTTGCCCCCAATGTCCTGGTTACCTGCTGGGTTGGAGAAAAACTCTCCCAGGAACAGCCAAGTCCAAAACGTGGTCAACAAAAACTGTAACTGTAAGTCCAATCAAGGCAAAATGAGGTAATTAGTCTGGCAGGGCAGGAGAAGGACTTCCAGACATGAAGGCACGGAAATAGTTCCACACGGTTGGGAAGATGCAGATAGATAAGCAAAGTCAATTCATGTTTGTTCCCAACAGATTCTGCACTCAGCTTGCATCTCTTTTAAACTCTTCCCAGGTGTGGCTAATGAAGGGAATCGGGGCCCTTTCCTCCCCTGTAAGCCACACAACCCACGTTGCTCCCTTCTCTGTCCCTCCCTGTGTGCCCTAGGATGAAGAGGGGGTGGGCCTGGGTCTTCCTCTGAACTCCTTCTCCCTTGTTCTACCTCTTCCCTGCTCTGCCCAGCCGGACTTTGCCCTTCCCCAGTTTCCTCCACAGCCAACGGAGCCCTACTCCCGTTCCCTGTCAGCTGATTGTCTTCTTCCTCGGATTCAGACTCTGACAGGGGCATCACACTTAACTTCTAGGGAAGCCCCCAGTAAGTAAAACAGCTGAGGCGTGGAAATCCACTGTGTTCCGCGAATCAGCGGAGTTAAGAAAGACGGAAATACAGGACAGGATAGCTCGGGGTCAGCTGATCGTTGGAACTACCAGTTCGCTAGAACCAGTCTGAACCGGCAGCAGCCCACTACCGCATATACCAGTCTTCACTCAAAGGATCTTCAGGCTATCCATTTTGTGGGCTTAGCAGAACTGGATCCCACCTCCCACGTAGGAAACTCAGAAGTCATGGATGTCATGAGGCTTGGGTTTGTAAGTGACACCGCTCAGCGTTCGGCCACGCGAAAGCGCGGCATTCTTTAGAGCCAATTAGTTTGGATAGCATTCTGCTGCACTGTATTGTGATTTTTATATAAGACACGGTGTAACTGCTTTGCAAATCTTCTTGTTTCCGAAGCTCTGGAGAATTCCCTGCTAGCTGGACTTCTGTAGCCTTTCTCAGCCTGATGCTCTCCAGAGTGGTTGGAACTACCGCCCCGTAAAACTTCCAGCCAGCATGAGAGATGGTTGCACGGACCAGCCAGAAGAATCTGGGATTTTGTGATTCTGGCTTGTCTGGAAAGCATCTGGTTGGAGAACACCTGGAGTCCTCGGACACTGAATATGTTGGGCAAATGATTTTGTATACATCTGACTTGGTGTCATAATCAAATATTAAGAGATGTCCATGGAGATGAACAGTTTGCCATGCTCGAATAGGTTGTGATGCTGTTAGCTTCCAAATTCAGTGGGTATAAATTGCCCCCATAGCAATGATGAAGTGGGTTGAGTATGTGCCATAATCCACATCTGTTGGTTTGTTGCATCCTTGTACAAGTTGTCTGTTGCTCCTCTACGCAATAACTTTTCAGCAGAGGTCCGTTTTCCTTCCTTCCTTCAAGCATCCTTCCACACCTGTGGAACCTTGGGAAGCAGGACTTAACTCCTAATCCAATAATTCCAAAAATCGGTTGACTTAGCCGTCAAATCATACATCGACGGGCAGTGTTTTCCCTGCCAAGAGTAGCCATTTCCATCTCCACTACTACTGATCTTCATACTTGGCTGGCATGACCTTGTCTCAGCCCTCCCCCTGAAGCTGGTTGTGGGCAAGGAAGCCCCCCCCCCTTTTCTAGTTGGTCTTTTTCGATGAGCCGAAACAGTTTTTACTTTCTTGGATTCAGGACGGATGGCTGAAATGCAGGAGGCGAAATAACCATCCAGTGAGCCCCAAAACTTACTAAACTTCTAGGCTAAGATTGGAGAAGGACCTGGGGGCTGGAGGTTGAGTGTTGATGTCAAACTTTGCTTGTGAAAAAATAATAATATAGGTTTTGCTAAAAAAAAAAATCTGTAAACTGAAGGCTCTCATGTCTTTTGGTGTCTCTTGGAGTTTCCCTTTATCCCCAGGAAACATAGGTGGCGGGAAGAGATGCTTCCTTGGTGAAAGATTAGGACACCCGATAAATCTTTTTGTAGGCATTTCCAGTGCTTGATTTTTCTTGAGCAGGTTGCCCCAATAATACAGGTGGTCCTCGACTTATAACAGTTCGCTCAAAATTATAACGGCACGGGGGGGGGGGGGGAGTGACTTATGATCATTTTTCACCCATACGATCTTTGTAGCGTCCCCACGTGATCAAATTTCAGATGGTTGGCGACGACTCATATTTATAGCTGTTGCTGTGTCCATCCAAGGGGGGGTCCCTTAAGAAGTGATTCGCTTAACAACGGTAGCAAGAAAAGTGATAAAGTGGAGCAAAAAAACCTCACCTAACCCATGTCTCACTCCACAGCGGGAACGTTGGGCTCAATCAATTGCTTATAAGTCAAGGACTACCTGTTCGATCCTTTCGTTTCCAAATGCAAAAAAAAAAAAACAAGCTCAGGAAAATCCCATCCCTCAACGACCTGCGTTCCTCCCCTTTCCCCCCTAAAATGGGTTCTTTAGCAGACAAGGATGTGTAATGCTTTGTTGTAGGTCTTTTTCTCTAACTTCCATTTGTGGAACAAGATTGCAACAGCCTCTGCAAATGAATTGAGTATCATCAGGCACAAAGAATCAAGATTGTACTTAAGTTGCAGTTGAGAAGATTTATTGCTCGCGTCTACACACAAGAATCTGGACAACTAACATTCAGCACTAAATGGGCGCTAGATAAGATTTAGCAGAATGAACTAAGTCTAAGTTCAGAGGGGGTGGACTTAAACTGTTTGTGGGAACGTAACAATTCTAGGCTGATGACTTGTTTGATTCCCCTCCTCCCCCAAGCTCTGTTTACTCTTTGGACAGTCAAGCATATAACTTGGTTATTTCACAGCACCAACCTTCCGTTTCATGTGTGGTTTTTGCCACCACGTCATACATACACAAGCCACCCAACTGGGTGGTTGTGGTTGTTGTTTTGCCCAGCCAGGACTAACAACCTGCAGGATCTTCCCTCCCTAAACTTTGCTTGCTGGTAAATTGTTCTGTGGTTCATTTAGCAACAGCTGTTGGATGCTGCCTCTGATGTGTGCAAACATTGATGATCAAATTCTTACCTCCTCTAGGCACATAGAGATGAAATCCAGCGTAAATTTGAAGCCCTTCGTAATAGCTGCACAGTGAGTATTCAACCCAGATCCTTGAATTATTTTGAAATCAAGAGGATGAGGAAGGAAACGGTCCACACACTGTGTTTTGTCTGCTCCTTGGAAAGACGAAGGCTTCTAGAAAGGGAGTCTTTGGCTTCCCCTGAGCTAGCAGAACCGAGACTGATCTGAATTGTTCATTTGAGAATCTCCAGGAAAAAGTGTATATATATATATATATATATAATCTTCTCTCTGGAGCTGTGGAAGCTTTCAATCTGGCCTTGGCCACTTCAAAAAACCAAAAAACAAAAAAAAGGCCAAAACAATTGGAAGGAAGGGAAAAAAAAATATCTCATTTCAGTGCAGCTAATAAGAATGGTTTAAGCAGCTGCCACAAACGATGGGGACGATATGACATTTCCGGAACTGTGGGAAATACCTTGTACCCGAACCCTCGGGCATCCAACCAGGCCTTGCCGTCGCTCAGACGATACTCCCTCACCCTGCAGATTAAACTGGGAGCCCAGCAACCTTCCATCCTTCTCGTAAGGGAGGAGCCTTTTCGGGACCGTCGCTTTTGGGATGGCGACACAGAGCGTTGCCTCTCGCTGCAAGCAGGGGGAATGGCTGCATGCGCGGATGCCTCTCGCCTTTTCTTTGCCGCAGGTTCCCCCTTTGGATGGGGGGGGGGGGAAAACACGCCGAGCCACCCCGAGGTTTCTCTCTCCTCTCCCCCTCCCCCCCCTCCACATCATGCATGCAAACGCTCGCCTCCACTTTTCCTTTGGCTGCCGGCGGCATCTTGAGCGAGCCCCTCTCGCCGTCTCTCCAAGGCTGCAACTTGCATGCGGAGCAACGCATGCTAGAACACGCACCCATGAAACGAACGGAAGGCCCTCGAAAGAAGGGTTTTGCAACGAGACACGCACGCGCGCACACGCACACAGGGAGGGGTGGGCTTCAAAAATTTTTAGCAACGGATTCTGGGTGGGTGTGGCCTAGTCGGCCTCCTGCATCACAGCGGGAAGGGGGGGGGTGTTTTTTTCCCCCCTCTCTGGACTCCGGAGGCTTTCCTTGAGTCTCCGGGAAGATGAAAACGGCCTTCCTTGGGCTCCGGAGGCTCTCTGGAAGCCGGAAACGGCCCCATTTCTGGCCTTCCCGAACTTCTGGGAGGCCCGTTTTTCACCCTCCCCGAGCCTCCCTGCACTTACCTGCATCCAAAACGGGCCACATGGGGACTCCTGGGAGGGGTGGGGGTGGGGCCAGCCAGGAGTTGGATTTGGGGGTTCTTGGAACTGCAGAACATCTTAGCTAGGGGCTGTTCTGAACTCCTGCAAACCCCCAGCAGCTCACCCCTATCACACACACACACACACACACACACACGGCAAGGGAAGCTGACATTCTCCAAAAATGCCCACTGGCTTCTGAGTTCAGGTAGATTTTTGAAGTGGGGCAGAAAACTTTAAAAAGGAAAAAAAAATGCATGCGATTTTTAAGACGAGAGCTGTGCGTGCTTCCAAAGCCGGCATGGGTCCTTTTGGTAGTGGTAAGAACCAATGACGTCCTGTTGCTTTCTGAAGAAGTCATTCCTCTTCCCACTTGCTGTTTTTAAACTTCTTAAAAGTAAGTTCCCGGAAAAGAACAAGGCCCAAGAATTCGTGGCAAAGATTGGGCCTCCCCAAACCGAAGCCAAATCACAAATCCGTTGTTGATGTTTAGAGGGATAGAATCGAGATCACGTGAAGTGTTCGTGCCACTTGATGATGCCTTGGTTAATAAGGCTACGTTTGGAATATTGCGTGCAGATTTGCTCACCGCGATGTAAGAAAAGATGTTGAGGCTCTAGAAAGAGTGCAGAGAAAAGCAACGAAGAGGATGAGGGGACTGGAGGCTAAAACATATTTAAAAATCAGTTGCTGGAATTGGGGATGTCTAGATGAAAAGGAGGACTAAGGGGTTACATGATAGCAATATTCCAATATTTGAGGGACTGCCACAGAGAGGAGGAGGGAGGTCAAGCTATTTTCTGAAGCACCTGAAGACCAGACAAGGAACAATGGATGGAAACTGAACTAGGAGAGATTCAACCTGGAAATAAGGAGAAACTTTCTGACAGTGAGAACAATCAACCCATGGAACAGAAGTTGCCTTTGGAAGTGGTGGGAGCTTCATCACTGGAGGCTTCCAAGAAGAGACTGGACTACCCTTTTTCAGAAATGGTGTAGGATCTCCTACTTGGTCAGGGGGTTGGACTAGATGACCTACAAGGTCCCTTCCAACTCTGTTATTCTATATTCAATAGGAAAGAACTCGCCTTCGGAAGTTGTGAGAGCTTCATCCCTGGAGGCTTTCAAGAAGAGACTGGGCTGCCATCTGTCAGAAATGGTGTAGGGCAGGGGTCTTCAACCTTGGCCACTTTAAGACTTGTGGACCTCAACTCCCAGAATTCCTCAGACAGCAAAGCTGTCTGAGGAATTCTGGGAGTTGAAGTCCACAAGTCTTAAAGTGGCCAAGGTTGGAGACCTTCTGGTGTAGGGTCTCCTGCTTGGGCAGGGGGTTGGACTAGATGACCTACAAGGTCCCTTCCAACTCTTTTAAACCCCGTGCCTCTTTCTGTAGTGTATTAATATCCAGGCTGCAGACCGGCTGCTAAATTCAGAAATAGCTCGGAGGAGGCTGTAAGTCGCTTAAGGGAGTTAAATCTGGAGAGCTAAAATATCCGTTACGGCAAACTCATTGACCCAAGCTTGGAACGGTTGTTTATTTTTTTCCTGGCGTGCCTTTGCTATCGGTGCTTTCTTCAATCAAAGGGCTGATCTGGTTGGGCACCGTTCACCAAAACGGCGTTTGCTTTCCTGGGGAATTTTAAAAGTCTTTTTTTCATTAAAACTTGGCTGCTGCTTTTATTGCTGCAGCCGAGTGGTTTGGTGCCTCGACAGGACCAATTTTGCTCTCCTGGTTATATTTCTTAGCAGAGAACAGGAGGTGGAGGCGCCTGGTGTTATTCTTAGCTGAAAATATTATGCTAAACATGGGCAGCCAAGGGTATTTATGGCTCGTAAGGATGCTGGGATGTGATTCATGAAAACATGATTGTGTTGTATATATATAGATAGAAGAAGCATTTTGCGTTAGATCTCTCAAATTCTATCCTGTTCTCCAAGTAAGGGACAGCCCACCTGCCCAAAGATCAAGGAAAATAAAGTTTCTTTCATTTTATTTTTATTTTGTGTGTGTGGGGGGGGAAGATTCTCCTTCCTGAACCTTCTCCTCCATTGGTTTCTGCCTGTCTGTTTTGCCTCTTCCACCGAATTCGTTTCAGAAACGCTGCAGCCTCTTAAATCTTTTACACTTCTTTTACACCAGGGAGCAAAGAAGGCATAAGGCAGCACCGCATGAGTTGAATTGGAAAAAGGCCCTGGTCCTTCCGATTTTAATTTTGTGCTTTTTGTTTCTTCTTCTTCTTCTTCTTCCAGCTCTTTGAACAGCCAATGTACAAATCAGCTATTCCAAGGACTGGATTTAAAAGAAGAAGGAAAAAAATGTACATGCTTTAATCTTTTATTTTATATTTTTAATTTTATAGGACATAGCATGCCTTATTTTAATTGTGATGCTTCTGACAGGAATGAACAAGCGAACAACGGATGGTGGAACTGTCACAGTGTACAAACAGATAATCAGAGTTGGAAGGGACCTTGTGGGTCATCTAGTCCAACCCCTTGCCCAAGCAGGAGACCCTACACCATTTCTGACAGATGGGAGTCCAATCTCTTCTTGAAAGTCTCCAGTGATGAAGCTCCCTCAACTTCTGAAGGCAACTTCTGTTCCACGGATTGATGGTTCTCACTGTCAGAAAAGTTCTTCCTTATTTCCAGGATGAATCTCTCCTTGTTCAGTTTCCATCTGTTGTTCCTTGTCTGGCCTTCGGGGGCTTTGGAAAATAGCTTGACCCCCTTCCTCCTCTCAGTGGCAGCCCCTCAAATATTGGAAGGATGCTATCCTGTGTCCCCTGGTCCTTCTCTCCACTAGACTAGCCATGCCCAGTTCCTGTAACCGCTCTTCATATGTTTTAGTTTCCAGTCCCTTAATCCTCCTGGTTTCTCTTCTCTGTACTTTTTCTAGAGTCACAACATCTTTTTTATAGTGTGGTGACCAAAACTGGATGCAGGACTCTAGGTGTGGCCTTACTAAGGCTTTATACAGTGGCATTACCTAATAGATATTAGGTATATCGATGTTCTGTTTGTTCCTTGTAGAGGCTTATGCAGGTAATCCTCAACTTACAACAGTAGGTCTAGTGCCTGTTCAAAGTTACCATCGCATGAAAAAAGCGACATGACCATTTTTCACCCTAACGACTCTCCTTGTGGTCATGGGATCAATATTCAAACACAATTGATTCATATTTACGACGGTCACAGTGTCCTCGAGGAGGTCGCGCGATCCCCTTTTGAGACCCTTCTGACAAAGCAAAGTCAACAGGGAAGCCAGAGTCGCTTAACGACCGCTGTGACTAACTTAACAAACCGCAGGGATTCGCTCAACAGCCGTAGCAAGGAAGATGGTAAAATGGTGCAAAACTCACTTAACAATTCGTTAAGCAGAGACGTTGGGCTCAGTTGCGAATGTACATCGAGCACTACCTCTTTGAAATAATCTGGGGGCCGCTGGGTCACGACAGTGAGAACAATTAATCGGCAGAACAACTTGCCTCACAAGGTTATGGGTGCTCCAACTCTGGAGGTTTTTAAGAAAAGATTGAGTGGCTATTTGTTTTTTGCTTATTTATTTATTTATTTGGTCTTTCCGTTGCTTACAAGATAGTAGAGTATAAGTAAAAACATAGTTATGAATACGTGGATACATATAAGAAAATTTTTTAAAAAATAAAAGAAACAATTGCCCAGAATGGTAGGGTTTCCTTCTATAGCCGGGAGGGGGGAGGGGGGATGGGTTTGGACTAGAAGACCTCCAAGGTATTAGTATTTTAGTATTTTTTGATTTGTCAATCACTTACAAGATACAGGTATAAGTATCTACATAGTTATGAATACATGGATACATATAAGAAAAATAAAAGAAACAATAGGACAGGGACGGTAGGCACGATTGGTGCGCTTATGCACACCCCCTGCAGACCTCTTAGGAAAGGGGTGAGGTCAATGGTAGACAGTCTGAGGTTAAACATTTTTGGGGTTTGGGGAAGAAACCACAGAGTCAGGTAGAGGATTCCAGGCATGGACCACTCTGTTGCTGAAGTCGTATTTCCTGCAATCAAGTTTGGTGCGGTTAACCTTGAGTTTGTATCTATTGTTTGCTCTTGTGTTGTTATGGTTGAAGCTGAAGTATTCATTGACAGGTAGGATATTGCAAGGTATGATTTTATGTACTATACTTAGATCGGACCGAAGGCGGCGTAGTTCTAGGTTTTCTAGGTCTAGAGTTTCAAGTCTGGTGGCATAAGGTCTTCTGCAACGAGTAGAGGAGCGGAGAACTCTTCCTGTGAAATTCTTCCAACTCTTTTATTCTGTTAAACGATCATAGTTTCCGGCCAGGGACGGGATTCAACCGGTGTAACAACCGGTCGAATCCCACCATTGTTTCCAGCCAAAGAAAAGAACTTGCTTTGTTCTCTTAACCTGCGTAGGAAATGTTTCTTTGCCAGCGATGAGTAGCTATTTACAAAGTTCAGGGTTTTTTTTGGTTTTTCTGTTTAAAAAAACTCCTAAATGTCTCATCCATCTTGGTACATAAGGAGTGCGTGGATAGCTTTCAGTGCAGTAGTGTCAGCGTTAGCCTCCAGAAGCCCAGAAGAGAACATTTCAGCAATTCCTTCTGTGTTCCTCCTAAAAGTTCAGGCGCTTGGGGTGAAGGCTAAAAATGCGATACCTTTGGCTTGCGATAGTGGATTTCTGAACAAAAAATCGCTTCTGGATGAATTCAGAAGGTGGCTTTCCTGTTAAGGGACAAGATTTCTTTTTCCGCTTTAAACATTTGCTTCTCGTGGTGATGTCAAGGCGGAGAGCAACTACAGGCAGCCCTTTAACATACAACCCTAAGGGAACCTGCCCATTACGGTCACGGGTTGTAACTGTCATAAATATCAGCGGTTTGACTATGGGCACAGTTTTGGCGAAAAACCAGAAGTGCCAATTTTCAACAAGTTTCTTAAACAAATCAGTGGTTTACTACGGGCACAGTTTTGCCAAAAAAACCAAAAGTAAGTGCCAATTTTCAACAAGTCTTTAAACAAATCAGTGGTTTACTATGGGTGCAGTTTTGCCCGAAAACCAGAAGCCAGTGCCTGGGTCAGAACAGTTCATCAATAGGATGATAATAATTCTGTATATTCCTGCTTTTGCCTCTGGCCCCTGCTCCTCAGCACGTGCTCTTCACATAAATCTGAAATTATAAGCAAAAGTATTTTCTGTAATGATTACATAACTACCAATCGGTCTATCCGCCTATCTAAGTTACCAAGGTAACCCTGAGTGTTGTACCAAGTTTTATAACTAACCTGCAGCATGGGAAGGGGGTGTGTGAAACTATTTTCTTGTTTATGTCCTCGCATCCGCAGTCTGCTTCACTAGTGAATTGAAATTCAAATGTGTCAGGTGTTAAATTCTTTTGCAGCCACGGTTCATTTCCAAACGATACGAGAAGCTACTCATAGCGTTTAGTCATACCCGGATCCTTGTACAGATGGACCAGTGGATTTAAACAAGGAATACTTGGGGGGGGGGCCAGGGGGGGAGATCACAAATCTGTGTTAGCCACATTTCAACAGATACAGTGAACCAAGAGAAGATGCTCTTAGGTGGGCAATATCTAAGCACGGGAGCCACGTGCTCAGGATGTTTTTGAATTGCTGTGTGACATTTGCCCGGTTCTTATTCACGTTGCTTTATTCCTCCCGTCGATTCTTCCTCGGTTGCCGGGAAGAAAACGAAGACGCGACCATTGGTTGGGGAGTCACAACCACGAGTGCAAGTTGTGTGCATTGGGACAACTTTTGAGAAAGCAGTGTTGTCGTTAGTTGGCCCGGTCAAGCATGGTCTGGAAGCCCTTCCAAAATCCTGGGGGCTTGTGCTTCAGCCGCGCAGCATGTCTTCGTCCAGTCGTTTCCCTCCCATGTTCTGACCGGCGGTCTATCCAGCAGCATTCGAAACATCTGGGGTGGACCAAAGGGGCTCATCTTCACTCCCATTCTGCTTCAGTGGACCCCAGCTTCCTTTGCTTCGTAAAAGCCTTGTCGCCTGTCTGCCTCTCACTGACGCGCTTATATTAGCTTTGCCTCTCTAAAATGTGTGTGAATGGAATGGCAGGTGCTCGTCATATTTCACCCTGAGGTTTTTAACTGACCACCGAACCCTAAATGGTAGAGGGAGGCCGGTTAGCTGTTGGCATCACCCTGTGTCCTGACCCATCTCCCCAAACACGACAACCCCCCTGAAGTTAACTCAAAGATTCCTTTATGAGGAGTGCCGGCATCCCCGGCACAAAAGTTTCTCTCTCACCGCAGGCTAACAAGTCTGTCCGGCAAGGAGATGAATAGTTGTCTGCCACATCTATTCATCTCCACCCCCTGACTTTTATTCCCAGAGCTAGGGTGGGGCTTCGCTAGCAGCGGTGGCTCTTCCGTCCCAAGGTCCGGCCCATAGATTTCCACTGCTCTCCTCTCCTCTGCCTTCTGAGAATCTACACATCAGGCACTGGACCCAGCTATTCCTCCTCTTCCTCAGCAGCCACCTCCAGACCTGGGGGCTGTTGACTCTCCATCGGAGGGCTGACGGGCGGCCCAGGCTCCGCTTCCGTCTCTCTCTTTCTGCCAGTTCCATTCTCTCTTCCCTCTCAGAGCTTGATGCTGGCACCTCCTCTGATTTGGCTGCTGGAGGTGCCAGCGACCGACAGGCCGCAACACTCTGGTTTTCCTCTCTTGTTGAAGTAATCTCAAAAGAGTCACCAAACAGATAATCTGCCTCTCTTCCAAGGCCTCTCTACAAGTCATCGGTGTTCCTCTCACGGAACTTAGCATCTGTGGTCCGCGGTGAGGATAATACCAGGTTGGGGAAGATAAATCAATTTGCTTTATACCGTCATTTGAACATCTGCAGATCTGGCCAGGCAACCGCAGGCTGCCGATTGCGCATTGCTCTTGCATTCTTCCAACCGAGGTCGTAGCATGAAAAGTAAACCTCTTACGTTGAGGTGTATCTTACACGAAACGATCAAAGGACAGCAGATCTTCAACCTGGTTATGGGTTTAGCTTCAACCCCAGGCTAATTAAGCATGTGCAATTTATTATTATTATTATTATTTTGCAAGGCTGCATGATAAACTTCCAGAATGCCGTTTGAGGATGTTTGGAAGTTGGCTGTCGGAAAACTCGTCGGCTTTAAGTTCTCACCTGTTTCTGAGATTTGTTTTCTGTTTCTCCTCCCGGCGTGTTGTTCTTTTCGTGTAGGTGATCACAGATCTGGAAGAGCAGCTGAACCAGCTGACCGAGGATAACGCTGAGCTGAACAACCAGAACTTCTTCCTCTCCAAGCAGTTAGATGAAGCTTCCGGGGCAAACAACGAGGTGGTTCAGTTGCGGAGCGAGGTTGACCATCTCCGTCGCGAGATAACGGAACGGGAGATGCAACTCACCAGTCAAAAGCAAGTAAGTCCTTCCAATTTCAGCTTACAAAGGCCAGTTCTTGCAAACTCTCTGTTGTGGTTAGCCGGCAGCAGGTGCGGACAGCTGAGGAGAGCAAGGACTCAGGTGAGGGGCCAGGACCGTTAGGGAGTGGACTGCTGCCTTCAGAGATTGTGGGGGCTAGCAGCAGCGATGAGGAGGTTCCCGAGGAGCCTGTGCCAAGTGCGCGTGTGCGCAGGATTGCTCGGAGAAAAGAGCAGTTACAACATGGGCGACTCGGGAGTAAGGCTGCAAGGTAATGCGCCCCCCCCTTCAAGAAGATAAAAGCCAGCTGTGAAGTGAATGTTCTTTGCAGGAAGCAAAAACGTTTTGAAACTCAGCCTCGTGGACATTACTGTATCTTAATCTGGTATTTGAACACTCTTGTGTTGTGAAATGTTATCTGATTCTTGGGAGTCTCGCACAATTTTGGCGAGGCTTGTGCTTATCGAAGTTAATCAGTTTGCAGCAGCCTTCTAACCGGGGATTCGTAAGACTCATTAAAAGGTTTCTGTCCCCTTTGGTTCATGTTTGTTTTATTGGAAAAGGATTTGGGTCAGAACAGTCTCGTTCAACCACCTAACTAAATGCAGATACTTATTGAAAAAGGCTTGGTCCTTTTTCAGTACATATCATTGAACAGGCTGTCAACTCAAAAAAGATTCCTATGCCTGTTTTAGTGTTGCCATAAATGAGGGAGGGAGGGGGAAGGAAAGGAAGGAAATCTGGAAGAACAGTGCGGCAGTTTGAAACCAGAAGTACATTCCAACACTTATCTTAAAATGATTGTAAATAAGCTACAGGAGCTTTTGCCCGGGAAAATATTTAATTGGAGAACATGATTGAGGACACCCAGCCCGCGAATGTGCTAAATTGGAGAATCAAATTTATCACACACCCAGGGAGGAGAGGGGAAACAGGGTCACAGGTGAATGTAAACGATGTATGCCAGAGTTGGCTTCATACAGAGCGGTGCCAGCATGTCGCTCCTAATAAATCCTTCAAAGTTTTTTGAAGTTTGGCTCGAGGCTCAGTATTTAATTAGGGCGATTGTTGGAAACCTGACACAGGTGGTATAAACCACTGCATAAGGCTAATTCTTTCCCATTTTATGACCTGGGAAGCCCTGCCTCAGATTCTTCTAATGCTGCTGTTCCACTCTCCTATCTAACATGCACCATCCGGAACCGCGCCATCACGCGCTTCTTTCCTCGAAGAGGTTCAGTAAATGTTAACAACCTCTCTGTAAGGAATCTAAAGGAGCTTTATTTTAGACTAGGATTATGCTCTTGAGCTGAAGAGCGGTGCGGTGGCCCAGAGGTGGATCTCTCGCCTCACAATCAGGAGGCTGTGAGTTTGATCCTAGGTAGAGGCAGATTTTTTTTCTCTCTCTCTGGGCCCGAGGAGAAGATATCTGCTGAACAAAACTCCGTACTGGCAACAGGAAGGGCATCTGGCCAGGAAACACTCCGCTCCATTCAGTTGCCAAGACTCCATCCCGCAAGAGATTATGGGTTTGTTTGTTTTTTAAAGGAGATTATGCTCTTCAGCTGAACTTCAGGGGGATTTAAAAAAAACAAACCTCTGCTGGGGATTTATTTTTAGACCATGGAGGCCTTAAAGACCACCTGTACCATGCTGGAGGAGCAAGTGATGGATCTGGAGGCCCTGAACGATGAGCTCTTGGAGAAGGAGCGCCAGTGGGAGGCGTGGAGAAGCGTCCTGGGAGATGAGAAGACCCAGTTTGAGTGCCGGGTGCGGGAACTCCAGCGAATGTTGGATACAGAGAAGCAAAGCAGGTACAACGGTCTCTTCGGGTTGGGTTCGGGGTGACCGTAAATCGGTGAAAAAGGAAGGAGTCGAAAAACGGTGTGTGTGTGTGTGTGTGTGTGTGTGTGTGCTAGAATCCACCAGAACCTCTGGAAGGCAGTGAGTTCAATGAAGGAAAATATTTGTACCTCAGGATTGAAACGAGGAATCCCTGGCGCTCTCTGAGCTTGGTGGTTTTCTTGGGGACGTTTCATGACCCAGCCAGGTAACATCATCAGTGGTAGAAGGGAGTGGGGTTTGAGGAGAGGAGGAGGATTGTGGGGTCCTTGGTGCCCTCTGAGTTTGGTGGGTTTTTTTTTGCAGATGTCTCATTATCCAACTAGGTAACATCATCAGTGCTAGAAGGGAGTGGGGTTTGGGGAGAGGAGGAAGAAGAAGAGGACTGAAGGGAGCTTGGTGCTCTCAGAGCTTGGTTGTTTTCTTGGGGACGTTTCATGACCCAGCCAGGTAACATCATCAGCGGTAGAAGGGAGTGGGGTTTGCAGGGAGGAGGGGGACTCCCTGCTGCTCTCTGAGCTTGGTGGTTTTCTTGCAGATGTCTCGTTATCTAGCTAGGTAACATCATCAGTGGTAGAAAGGGATGGGGTTTGCTGAGAAGAAGAGGAGAAGGATGCTCTTGATGCTGTCTGAGCTTGATGGTTTTCTTGCAGACGTTTCATGACCCAGCTAGGTAACATCATCAGGGCTAGAAAGGAGTGGGGTTTCCGGAGAGGAGGAGGAGGAAGACCGTGAAGTCCTTGGTGCTCTCTGAGATTGGTTGTTTTCTTGGGGACGTTTGACACACACACCCCGTTTTAAATGAAATATCCGTTCTCTGGGTGAACTTTACAGCGTAATATTTTTTTTCCTGACGCTTTTTCAAGGAGGACACGTGGACGGGTGACGGTGGGAAAGGTTTTTAAGAGTTTCAGGAAGCCGGGCTGTTGCAGCCTCGCTTTCTAAACCCAATTTATTCTTGGGCTCTTAATTAACATACATGGGCTATATATACAGAACTTTGTGCAAGAAGAGCATGACGTCTGAGAACAGAGATTGGCTGTTCGCCAGCCACCCCTCACACACCGCCACCATCTGGCCCTCGTTTGCCTTCCGGATTCTCACGGTGCCAACTTGGTCCCCTCTCAGCCGAGCAGGTGTGGATAAGCGGCATGGAAACCTAGGAAGAAGAAGCACCGAATTGCCACTTACCGCTATTTTTTTATTTTTTATTTTTAACGGAGGGACGATGGAGAGCCTGCTGTCATACGGCATGACGGTCTGGTTAGGAAGCCGTCCTGCTTCGGGCAGGAAGGCGCTACAAGAGAGTGGCGAGGACGGCAGGAGAGACGATAGGCAGATCGCTCCCTTCTACCCAGGATATGGCCATATTGCAAGCGCTGCTTGAGCCGGGCCCCCAGGATGGTCTGGGACGCTACACGTTCCCTTCACGAGCTCTTTTCCTTCCAGGAGGAAAGGGCTCTGTGGTGCCCAAATGCAGAACATTCCTGATTCGGTCACCGTTTTGTTCCGTACGCCATCAACCTTGTCAATTCTCAAGTTTCCTCTTTCCGCTGTGTATTCAGGATGGACTGATTAATGTATATAGATGTATGTGTTTGTGTGTCTGTGTGTGTATTTTGCATATGTACACTTTTAAGAGCAGGCAGCAGTATTTCATTTTTAAAGTGTGCCAGAGTGTCCACGTAAAAAATAACAATGAAGGTTATCTGTCTGTCTGTCTATCCATCTATCTATATCTTCCATCCATATGTATGTATGGATGTATGTATGGATGGATGTATGGATGGATAGATAGATAGATAGATAGATAGATAGATAGATAGATAGATAGACATATATTCTATATCTATCATCTATCCTGTCTGTCTATCTATCATCTATCAGTCTATCTATCTATCCATCCATCCTATCTATCCATCCATCCATCCTGTTTATCATCCATCTCTCTGTCATCTATCTATCCATCCATCCATCCTGTCTATCATATATCTATCTGTCTATCATATCTTTCTGTCATCCATCCATCCATCCTATCTATCATCTATCTGTCATCTGCCTATCTATCTATCTATCTATCTATCTATCTATCTATCTATCTATGGTATCTATGTACCTACCTACCTACCTACCTACCTGTCGAATGATGGCCTTCTGGCCTTCAACAGAAAGGGCTTGGCTCTCTGAAGACTCCTTTCCTATTGATTCCGTCCTTTTTGGGACCCTGGAAGGGAGGCAGACCACGAGTGGCGTAAACCCAGGGCTTCTTCTCTTCCGTGCAGGGTGCGAGCCGACCAGCGCATCACGGAATCCCGCCAAGTTGTGGAGCTTGCGGTTAAAGAACATAAAGCGGAGATCTTGGCTCTCCAACAAGCATTAAAGGAACAAAAGCTCAAAGCTGAGAGTCTCTCCGACAAGGTCGGTCACTTAAAATGCTATACGGGTTGTCCTCAACTTACAACTGTACGTTTAGTGACCGCTCGACGTTAACAGCGGCACTGGAAAAAAGTGACTGATGACTCTTTTTCACACTTATGACCGTTGCAGCCTCCCCGCGGTCACAAGATCAAACTTCAGGTGCTTGTCAATTGGCTCATATTTACGATGGTCGCAGTGTCCCGAGGTCGTGTGGCAGCTGCAGTGATTCACATAACAACTTTGCCTGAGGAAGGAGGCAAAATGAATCAAAACTAACTTAACAACTGTCTTGTTTAGCCACAAACATTTGGGACTCAATTGTAGTTGTAAGTCGAGGACTGCTTATATTGGGTGATATTGTCCCAGAAAGCTCGGGCCCTTTTATTTGGCCTGCAAGCCAGATATAAGTCGGGGGTGGAAAAAAAAACAGAACTTTGATAAGTGGAAAGGAGAAGAGAAATTTGATAAGTGGAAAGGAAAACTCTTACAAGTGGAAAGGAGAAGAGAACTTTTATTGGCAAATAAAAGGGTTACCCAGAAACAAGTTCACATGGGCCTACCCCAGCTTGGAGTGGACTCTTTTTTTTTTTTATACAACTTCGAAAAGCATATATTGTTGTGAGCCGATCATGGAAACTCGCAACACTATAAACCAATCATTAAGAGCATCATAAATCCATTCATCTTCAGCGGTCATAGTGAACACAGTTCAGCTAGAAGGTAGATTAAGATTTGAACCTTCTTCCTTATCTAAAACCGTCAACTCATAAAATATTTTTATGGTCCTTTTAGAGTTGCCAACAGAAAGGGAGGGGGGAGCAGTGCGGCAGCTTAGAAACCGAAAGTGCATTCCATAAATAGTTTTTCAAAGATAATAACTAGGCGACTGAAGTTTCTGCCGCACAAAATTCTAACTGGAGAGCCTGATTGATGATTCTTGGCTATGGATGCGTCCCGTTGGAGAATATGAATTATGATACATCCAGGGGGTGGGGGAACACCAGGGTCAAGGGTGACAATGAATGTATCTCAGAGTCGGCTGCACCCAGGCAGTGCTGGCCTGTTTACTCCCAATAAATCCCTTCGAAGTTTTTGGAAGTTTGGCTCGAGACTCATGATTTAATTGGGGGAACTGCCGGAATCCTGACAAGATAGCTCCGAAGGAATTTGGTACCAGGGGTTTTGTCCACCGCTTTAATGGACAGGTATTCCCAAGCGGGAGGCAGATGTTCACTAAATGAATTGTCGTAAGTCCAGGATTGTCTGTGCAGAGGTTTTAAAAGGAAGGCGGGAGAGAGAGGCAAGTAGACGTGGAAAGACTGGCGTTTCACGCCTTGCCTCCCCGTTGAACCCAGTTCCATTTCTAACCAGCTGAATGACTTGGAGAAGAAGCACGCCATGCTGGAGATGAACGCCCGGAGCCTGCAGCAGAAGCTTGAAACGGAACGCGAACTCAAACAGAGGCTTCTGGAGGAGGTAGGCCCCGCTCCCTAGCCGAACGTCTGTGAATCCCTTCGGGGAGATTTGAAACTGGCAAACCGGATTTGGTTCCTCCTGGGTGTTGCCTTATAGGCTGGGTTTAAATCGCCGGTTTTTCAAATTGGCAGCTTTGAGACAGGCAAATGTTTTAAGTGCCTGCGGATTGCAGGATAAAAGTCTGCACATCTAAAAGTTGCTGAAATATTAGTCTTAATTTTGATATAACCTCAAAATATGGCGCTTCCCTCCTCTTGTAATCGTTCGCTTTATTACTTTCAATTTTTCTCCTTTCTATCTCTCTCGCCTTTCTTCCTCCCTCCCTCCCTTATAATCTTTATCGCTTTCAATTCTTCTCCTTCCTTCCTTCCTTCCTTCCTTCCTTCCTTCTTCTCTTATAATTGTTCTCTTTATCACTTTCCTCCCTCCCTCCCTCCCTCATAATCTCTCTTTCAATTCTTCTCCTTTCTGTCTTTCTCTCCTCCCTCCTTCCCTCCCTCCTTTATAATCTTTCTCTTTATTGCTTTCAATTCTCCTTCCTTCCTTCCTTCCTTCCTTCCTTCCTTCCTTCCTTCCTTCCCTCCCTCCCTCCCTCCTTCCTTCCTTCCTTCCTTCCTCTCTCTCCCTCCCTCTCTTATAATTGTCTTTATCACTTTCCTTCCTCCCTCCCTCCCTCATAATCTCTCTTTCAGTTCTTCTCCTTTCTG